TCTAACGGGCTTGTAATTCTATTAACAAGGCCTCTGCTGTTTACAAAAAGATATTTTCTCACAGCATAAACAAGTCTGGGCTTGATGATGCATAGGATTAGGCAATGCGTGAAATTTTAAGAGCCCTGGTGTCCAAATGTACAAAAATGAGCAAGAAAAAACAAAGCAAAAGACATTGGTTTCTGAAATGTGTGAATCTGAGATGAAACTGCAAGAGTTGGTGCTTGAGATATAAGCTTTTATTAGCTTCTCAGAAAACATAATGTCCTCCCAGATCTTGTGTTCTTTATGTGACATCCTCCCGTATGTCACTAATATTTGGCAAAAGCGTATGCCCTGCAACCTCCATTAGTTAAGGTAATGACAAACATTTACGTAGCATTTCTAGCTTCCAGGGACTTTCATAGAATCAATCTACTTCGGAGTTAGGAGAACGTTGAGGACATTCAGTATACAACATCCCAAAGGAGTATGTTCCTTTGATATGCGGAAAGCAATTTACAAAGAAGTGAAGATGGAAGATGATTGAAAGTAATTGAGTGGAGGACCTAGAAGTGGCCTCTGTGACACTGCTCTCCTTTCTCTAGAAATTTCTTTTTTTTTTTTTCACACTTAGATTACATTTCTTTGAAGAGCCCATATGTATAGTTCCTTGACTTTATGCTGTACTCTTCTGGGAAGGACTGTGTTTATTGCACTCAGGTGTAATAAACATCATTACCCCAATTTCATTGCCTGTCCTTAGGGACTTGATATGTGACCCAGTAGTTTCTACTGAGATGTGAGGGAGGTTTAGGTAATATGCGAAAATATCTTTTTTACGTTGTGGGTTATCGGGTGTAATTGTAAGGGCTGGCCCTGTTGCAGCCCTGTCTTTGCCATGAGGCAAGCCAGCCTGAGGGTTAATATGACACAGACAGAGGATGAACAAACATGATGGCTGGGCTGAGGGTTTGAATGCTGTTGAACCATGCTGATAACTTTTCTACCTCAGGATATTTGTAATGACTTAAGCCAACGAAGCCCCTGTGTTGTTTAAGTCAGGGTTTCTGCTACTTGCAGGGCAAAGTATCTCCACTGACACAGCTGAGTTACACAAAATTGGACAGGACACTTACTGAGACTCATCCCAGAACCCTTCTTATATTGACATGCATTGTTGGACTCAAAAGAAGCATCACCTACATGCCATTGTCCCCAGTTAAGGGGCTATGGGTTTAGTTCTCTCATAGTGTATCTTACAGGACAAGATCTAGCCTGGTTTTCAAGCTTTATGAAGCAAGAGACAACAGTTAAGTGACTTTCCTGTTATTATTATATAATTGTAGGTCTGGGCTTGTATTCTTATATCTAGGTCATACTCCCTCTTGTCTCAAGGAGAGTCCTTCAGTGCAGACAAATCTCAGAAGAAGAATATATTCTTTTGCAAAGATTCCAGATTCCTAAGATACTTTGCAAATGAGATGTTTCACACACACACAAAAAATAGAAGTTCAGCTTAAGTAAAATAGGTATATGAAATCTATCAGTTAGCAACACTGAAAAATCAAGTTATTGCAAACAAAAACATCCATTTTAGCTCCCTTAATAAGAACTCAATCTGCCAACACTAGACTACTAGATATCCAGATTAGTTCTATCCACAGGACAAATGGCCACCAGGGGTAGTGTATGTTTTTTGGCCATGGACATCTTTGGTCTTTTTTTTTGGCGGGGGTGGGGGGATCAAACTCAGGACCTTGCACTTGCCAGGCAGGTGCTTGTGCTGCTGAGCTACATCCCCACCCGCTGGGCATGAACATCTTTCTTCAGAGAAGATCTCTTTGCTGCTGTCATTGCACTAGATTCTTTTGGGAGATATTCCTGTGAGAACCCTTTGTGTTCCCCCCTGCTAATGAGCTGGTGGACTAAAACTTTTCTTTTTCTAAATTGCTATATTTTGGTTTTCTGATGTCCCTGGCAGCCATTTTAATAACATAACAAGCAAGCTGGTGCAAGTGAGTCTGGGTCCTAGCACAGGTGAGTCTACGATCTGATCAACACCGAGATTACCCACAGGAAGAGTGGCTCATTATTCTGGAAATTCTGGCAGATTCCCAGGACCAGGCACATTGTGGCCCACTTACATTCCTACCCAAGGAGTCAGTTTCTTGGCTCACCTTTGTGCCATTGTCCATTAAAAAAAAAAGGAAAATCAGTAGAGGAGAAAGGTGGCAAACAAAAAGCAACAGGTAGATTGGTGTCCAAGGAGAAAGAATGCTTCCTTAAAAACTTCCTCTTCAGAGGACGACATCACACCCTGGTAGTTATTCCTTCCTCTCTTTATAATTCCCTTACTCAGCAGTGAGGAGTGTCTAAATCTCCACGCTAGGTCTCCAGTGTGCTCACAACATTCAGGACAATTAGTTCCAGCTGGGAAAAACACCAATACTAAACACAACTTTCAGATGAATTTCTCTGGATGGGAACTGTGACCCAAAGAGGCCAGAAGCTCATTTTCTGCTAAGGGGCAAGTATGGAGTTGCACTTTGGGACTCTCTGGGGACAAACAAATCCTTGTAATATCCAGGCTCCTTGGAGGCTTCCCCTGGCTACAGTTGTAGAGTTAGAGTTTGCTCGGAAGCTCTCTCCATCGGCCAGTTCCAAATCCGTCACTTTTCACTCCCAAGGGGAGAGAACCGCTCCATAGAAGGAAGCAGTTCCTAACAGGCTGGAGTGTACACCTCAAAGCAAGTCTCTCTCATTCCAACAGTGACCACAGCAGCTGCGCCATTTCTACTGCACTGATACAATAAGGTCAGAGAGATGGGTGCTTCCCCTCTAGGGTAAGAAGTTAGTCTCATGTCTGTGGGCGATTCAACCTTCTGAAGTGGCTAACTGCCAGCTCAGCAACACCCTCTGTCACCGGAGTCTCTCAGGAAGCTAGGCTTCACTCCCTTGCTTCTCTTGGGGCTCTGTGAATTGTCACAAAGTGGAGCCACACTCTGACTCTGTCCTGTTCCCTTAAAGAGAGGGAAATTGCTGCCTATGCCTAACAGTCCTGTTTGGTAATTTTCCCAATGGGACTTCGTAAAACAACAACATGTGTAATGGACAAGATGGTGGCATGCAGTCCTTGTTTTGTTGGGATGTCAGAGAAGACGTTCAGGGACAGTCTTGACGGAGAAAATGTGAACTTTCCATTCTAAGGGTAACTGCAGCCTGCATTTGTTGGGCATTTATTACATGTTAGGCATAATGCTAAGTATTTTCTAGGGACTGCCTCATGCAGTTCTCACAACCACTCCAAGAATTACTCCAATTTTACAAATACCAAAGCGAGGCTAAGGGAGGTTATATCAGTGTCCCTAGGTCATGGAGTCATAAGGATGGAGACGGGGTCTCACCCCAGCAGTGTCTCTGGCTTTTCCTCCCAGCATCCCCAAGCACACTCAAATGTGCTCCTGGCCACAGTGCACTAAGATGGGAGAATTTGTGCAAAATTCTTAAATGTCGCATAAATTTGTAACAACAAAGAAAATGCCACATAATAGAGTTTTCCTAATTTTAAAAGACGGACTCAATCCTCTTCGGAGTTTTAAACTATAACCTTCACTTTAGAGAGTGAAACACTTCACTGAAATTAGAATAATGATATCACCATACTCCACCCCTCCCCCATCCCTTCTGCAAACAGTAGCTGTAGCAGTAGTGGCCACAGAAAGATCAGACGGCCAGCGAGATGGCCCAGGAGTCATTCGCTTTACCTGCTATAGATGAAACATTCCTGGTTATTGATGACTTTGTCGGATGTATACCTCCGGAAGTCTTCCCAAGCATCCTTGATGGCGGTGACTGCTAGGATGACACAGACTGGTATCACGCTCACTCCGGGCTGGAAGGCGCTGACCACAGGGATAAAGTTCAGAATCACAATGCCCACGAAATAGAAATTGGCAAACCGGTGGAGCTGCTCGAAGACGTTCTTGGGTATGAAGGACAATATGGTATACTTGCTGGTCTTAATTTGATTCCCACGATATTGCTGGTTGGGGTTCTCCTTTGGGGACCATCCTTCAAAAGGCAGGTTGGAGACCACCACTCGTTTCTTCTCTTCTTTCCTTTTCCTCCTTTTCTTCCCTTCTTTTCTCATTTCTACTCAGTCCTGCCTCTTTAATTCTCATAATTTACTTCTCATCTTTTGCTTGCCTTCCTGGCTGAATATTCTTTTTTCTTCTTTCAAAAGGAAAACTAAACATGAGAAGCCCAGATACAAACACTGGGGAGAACTATGACAAAGCAGCAGCTTGCAGAGAATGGGTGTGTCTCTACTGGGCCACTTCCTTCTACTTGTCTGAGACTCCACCTGTTGGAATGGAGACGTCATCTGCAGGTGTCTTCCTTTTCATCCGAGGAAGCCAGGCACGGGTGCACTAACTCTGGGTCCTAAAACCTACCTGGTTAAGCTTTAAAAGCAAGGATTCAGAGGCTTTTCAAATGGCATGCATTTTCTTGTTTGGGAGACATTGCCCGACACCCTCAAAAGACTTTCGCCTGAATTTAGTTTCCTGCGATGATCCAATTATCACAGAATCTAATTCTTGAGCTGCCAAACCCACTTTTAATAATACAGTGTCCTTGTGCTTAATAATATGAATATTTTCACAAGTCAAGAATTCCAACTTTAGCACCGTTAGCATTTTTGACTGAATAGCAACTCTGTGTGTGTGTGTGTGTGTGTGTGTGTGTGTGTGTTTGTACTACATACTGTAGGATATTTACCAGTGTACCTGATTTTTATCCACTAGAGGCCAGCAGTGGGCTCCCTACCAGTATGACAAGTAAAAATATCTCCAGATATTACTAAATGCTCACTGAAGGCGGTCAAATTTGCCTTCAATCAAGAGTCACTGAATGAATTGAACTTAAGAAGTATAATATAAGAGATCCATCTTTTGAACATGCTGTTAAGTTAGCATAACCTATTTGCCAGAGAGGAAATAGAGGCAGATATCTTTTACCTTTCATATATTTGAACGTTGGAACCATTTATCTCTGTGTCAAAACGGTATCTCCTGAAATCTTCCAGGCCATCCTTAACCATGATGATGAACAGGACGATGGCCAAAGGCAACATGGTGATTTCCCTGTGGAACACTTCCATAGAAGGTATCCAGTTCAGAATCACCAGCAGCAGGAAATACAGGTTAGCCCACCTGCAAGGGGTAAGCAAGGTGTGAGTGAAAACCACAGAGAAGAAAAACACTCTCCTCCCTATTGCTTCCCCCTTGTTGGCCTTTATTAACTAAAAAGACCTCTCTATCAATGTTATGGTAAACATTATAGTAGGGCTTTGAAGCCAACAGGTCCAGATTTAAATTTTGTTTCTACTGTTTACTAGTAGATTGACCTTCTTGAGCTTATTTTCCTTTATGTAAAGTGGTGAGAGTTCAGATTCCCCCATTATCCACCTTAATAGCACCATATATCTCTCCAGGAAAACATTACTGTAATTTTTACATTATTGTAAAATTTAAAAATGAATGTCTCTTTCCCTAGACAGTATATTCAACAAATTCTATTTCTCTATCCCTTTTTTCTTATGTATCTCTAGTGCCCAACAGATAGAAGCATAAATATTTATTTAATAAATGAGTGAATGAATGAGAAAAACTTCTTCAGACATATGTGTTTGCGAGACAAAGGAATGGTGGGTCTCAGAGGCAGCATCAGCTGAGGTCGCCTATGTGGGAAACACTTGGTTAAGATGCCTGTTGTTTGACAAGTGGACATGTACCTGTGAAACTGCTCGCAGAGATTCTGAGGCAGGAAGGTGAGGAGAGTGTATTTGGTGGTACAGATCCTGTTGCCCGTGTAGCTCCTGGAGATCTTCTCCCAGTCCTGGTGGCACGTGCAATTGTTGGGGAACACGACCCGCAGCTGGGCCAGGCTGGAGCTCTGCCTCTCCCTCTCTGAAGACAGCAGTGGGGTGGTTTCTGTTGGGGACTGGGGGGCGCCATCTTGGACTCGCCATTGCCACCGATACCAACACGAATCCACGGAGAGGGTCATTTCTAGCCTCAGCCTCAGGTCTGAAAAGAGACATAGGAAGTCCCTATGGTCAGGTGAAGCAGGTGGCATGTTGGCCTTGTCACTTGTTAATGCAAGGAGATGTTGGCATCCAATTATAGAAAAACAGATTCCTGCCCCTTAATCCCTATGTTCTAGAGTCAGAGACATTAAATAAATGATTGTATAAATAATCTACAGCTAACATGTCTTGCTAAATACAGTCATGGGAGATGAGAGCTTTTGAGGACCTAGTTGGGACATTCAGGGAAAAGCAAAAGCATGGCCTGGTGGGCTGTGACCCTGGAGCTCAGAATTTTCGAGCTGACTTGTTCTAACTCTGAGCTGTGTTGATGTTATCCTGCTTACCTTCAGTTTCCTCATTTTACTGTAAAATAAGGAAAACTTTTCTGACTGTACATTTTAAGTGTGATTTCTTGAGAACAAACTGGACATTGCACAAAGTATTCTGACATGTTTTAAAAGTAAAGAAAGGGATTTGCTCTAGAATTTAAAAGTTTTTGGTACTCAGGTCACTGTAGACAGGGCCGTCTGTTGTCAGAACCTCAAGTGTGAATGATGAATGAAATACAAGAGACGGGTCCGTTTCTAACACCCTGGGCTTCAGGTGACTGGACTATGCTGACTCTTGTCACCCTGAATGTCAGCTCTCCTTCACTGACCAGACTAGGGGTGAGGACCTGCCCTGTTGCCTACTTAATTTGGTGATTTCTGAAACTGAGCACTTGCCCAAGCAGATCATCTTTCTAGATGGCAGAGGAAGGCTGCTGTGCCTACGCTGATCTTTCAATTTCTGAGCTCTTCTAGTAGAACCTACAAGAAGTTTCATTTTGGCCAATTTTTGTTGAAATACCCAGAGGTACATTACTGAAAGATGCACTTTGTAAAGGCAGAATTTGTATGCCATGGCCTTTCTCACTTAGTAGGCTCACTGCATGGCTTTCTTTTGAGCAAATAATTTAGTTATTATTAATCTTACAATGAAAAAACTGGCCTGTCATTGTAAATATGATCACTTAGGGAAGAGTCCCATTTCTAGTTTAAATGGTAATATTTTATCTTCCCGATGCTTGTGTGATCTGACCCTCATCGTAATTCTTCTCAGGGTTTTAATCAATCCAAATGATTTTCAGCCGACAGACCTCAAGGTTGTGAGAAACTCTTCACAGCCTAAATAACCCCTTGTAGCAAGTTTTAAAAAACACAATTATAGATGCCCATCATAACGTGACCAAAAGCAATATGACATTTGGCAAACCAGAAAGCATATCACACAGCTTCTTTCTTATAAAAAATACACTCCCTTTTTGGATTTCTTTTCTTTGCAAGGTAAAAGGAAATGAAAAGGTAATTCATGAATAGAGTTGAATATGCAAATGAGAAATCTTGGCTAATGCCTTACATATCAAACTCCTCTCAGTTTTAGGTGGTAAGATCCTTTTAAATGAAGAGATTGGATTGATACAGGGGATGCAGGTATTTTATGTAAGGGTTGTTTAAGCATCCAGTTACCATAATAATAACCTTTATTTTTCTTTTTAATATAATTTATTTCATAAAATAAGCTTCCTTAGAAATAAAGCAGACATAAAACGGATGTCATGTGGGTGGATTAAAGTTTGAAGATGAACTGGATATTTCTGTAAATTCAAAGTATCCTTCCTCGGTAGTGTACATTCCAATGATTAACAGGGCATACACAAGGTAACTCAAGAGTAAAGTATGAGATGTGAAGAAGAATGTGATGTCACATCTCTGGTAGAAACCTTTTTAAAAACAACATTAAGCTGGGTTTGTGGTACTGCTCCAAATCTCAGCTACTCTGGAGTCTGAAGCAGGAGGATCACTTTAACCCAGGAGTTCAAGGCCAGCTGGACAACATGGTGAGACCCTGTCTTAAGAATATCTCAGTTAGGTGCTGTGTAACAAAATAATTAACTGGCTGTGCTTTTTAGTGTCAAAGGCCAAAGAAAGGAGAGGAACTGCTTATTACTGAAGAAAGCTTAAAAAGATAAAAATTAACTATAATGCTTAACCCTGGATTGAATCTTGAACTAGGGAGATAAAGTAGGTAAAAATGATATCATTGGACAATAGGTGACATTTGAATGTGAACTGCAGTTAGTCAATAGTATTTTAGTAATATCAAACTTTCTGATTTTGGTATTTAGACCATGGCTATACACAAATATATTCTTGTTCTTAGGAAATCCACCCTAAAATATTTTGGGGTAAAGGACAAGGTATTACCATGAGTCAGAAAAAAACTGCATATGTTTGTGTAGGTACACAAACAATGGCAGAGTCACAAATGTCATCTTGGACAAAAAAAAAAAAATTATTCAAACAGTTTCCTGAAGAACATGTGAGCATTAACAAGATAAAGAGGTTGGGGAAAAGTGTCCAGGGAGATGAACTGGTTCTAGCTACAAAAGAAGTCCACAGGGGTGTTACATGGAGCTGGGGAATGAAGAGCAGCAGAAGTTGAGGATGCAGAGACAGATCTGGGTCAGTGGCCTGTTAATTTTCCACTGAGAGGAAGAGTGAGTCCTGGAGACTTTTAGGCGGAAAACTGCCTTTCTGTGAGCTGTGGACTCATTGAATTATCCTGAGCAAATCAGGTTAAGAGGACTAAGTGTACTAATAAAATTTTTAAAAATTGAAAAGAATGGGTTGGAGGGACCAAGACTCGGGCAGGCAGGCAACATTTTATCCCACGGTCTCTCTCGTCTCTAAAGGAAGTGCGTCTTCCCAAGAGTAGAACAGGAAACAAAGGGGGATTGTGTAAACCGTTTATTTCAGGTGTGGTTTTACAGCTTTCAGAAATTTTAGGGAAGGACAAACCTGATTGGATCGCCCAGTGCCCTTCCCCTTGTAAAATCTTTCATGCTGAGTCTGAGATGGCTCCTCCCACTCCCAATAAACTGAGGCTTACCTAGTGTTGCCAGGTCACCTTCTGATCACCTCTGCCTCACAGTAGAAGTAGGCACCCTCACAAGCACCAGTATTGCCTTCTTCTGGGAAGAATGCCCTCCAGATTGCAGGAGACATTCCTAGTGGATCATTAGCTAACACACTGGAGTAACTGCAGTTTTCATAAGCAAACTTTCTCAGTTTTATCTGCCTCACACATTTCCAGTTGAGCTCAGTTCCTTTATTTTTTCTCTTAATGAACCTAAAATCTCCCATTAGCAAGTTTCATTTTAATGGTTAGGGGGTCAACCAAACAGTCATTCACTGAATCCACACATACTTGTGGAGCACTTGTTTTAGACAAGATATATAAAATCTACACATTCCTTCCTTTTCTTCAGCTTACTTTGGTGTGGCAGAGATTTTATTCATTTATTTTTGTGGTACAAAGACTTCACACTAAACTATACCCCGTCTTTTTTTTTTTTTTTTTTTTTTTTTTTTTTGTAATTTTGAGATAGTCTAGCTAACTCTCTAAATTACCTAGGCTATGATCCTGCCTCAGCCTCCAAGAGTGCTGGAATTACAAGCATGCACCACATCTGGCCATGGCAGAGAGATTTTAAACACACATTCACAGAATTAAATATATATTTGCCAACAGAGGGTGGGGTGGGATAAGTGCCACAAATCAGAGCAGTGTACAATAAGATCACATTTTGGAGGAATGTGTCCCTGTCCCTGAAAAAGTGAGGCTTAGTTAAGATTAAGGAATGAGTGAGAGAGGATGGAGTGTGTGTGTGTGTGTATATGTGTGTGTGTGTGTGTGTGTGTGTGTGTGTACTGAGAGGCTGCAGCCACATTTGTGAACTTCCTGGGATAGAGCCAGCGTGTTGATTTCAAGAATGGCAAGAAGACCCAAGGAAGAAAGCAGATGTCTTAGTTACTTTTCTCATTGTTGAGACAAAATACACAGCACCTAAAGTTAAAAGGAAAAATGTTTATCTAGCTCACAGTTTGTAGAAGTTTCAGTCGATATCAGCTGCCTCCAAGGCAGGGTGGCACATGGCACAGGGGCAATTGTTCATGGCAACAGAACACAGCAAAAGCAACAAGAGCAAAAGGGGGAAACAAGCCTCTTTCTGCTCCTTTTATCTTATCCAGACTGCTAGGATTAGGGTGGTGGCAATCCAATCAGTGGACTGATCCAGCAATCACCCATCCTTAATCCCGGCACCTTAATCCCAGCCCTGCACTACGAATCAATCACAAACTCTAGGTTCAACTGCCTCCAAAAAAGCCTGATCTAAAAGTGCATGAGGCTTTGGGGGGACATCTAGACATAAGCCATAGCAACAGGAGTAAGTGCTTACTACAGAATTATTTTTGATGCATGCACAATTCTCTAAAATGTGTGTCAGTTGGTCAGGACCATGGTAGGGGGAAAACAATAAAATTAAATTACATTTAAATTCTTGATAAATAGTATACTACCATGATATTAGAATTAATTAGAGTTTAGGAAAGTTTGGCCTTCAGTTAACAAGAGGAATTTTTAAAGCACTCTACCTTGAGGACAAAATGTGTAAATGTCACAAAAACTGTTTTCTATTAGACAGTTAAACAATAACTACTCTAGAATAAAGGACTTGGAGTTGTGTGTTCATAAATCAATTATTTCACTTTTCCCCAAACTGCAATCATTCTTAAATTCCTTCTCAGTTTTTACCATGCTTAAATATCATGTGTTTAATGAAAAATAATATAATTCATTTAAGTCAGTTCACTTCTTATAAACATAAATGTTGAGTTGGGCTTATTGTTAAAGCATTCACATCAGAAATTAAAGAGG